CTTGCCCGTGAATTTCTGACTGAAGCCTAGTTTGAAAGTCATGAAACGAAAAGGAGCTGCTAACTGCAGACCATCGACTCAAACAGACAAAAAAGGGAAAGGGGAAAACCTGTGATATTGCTTTTCTTTGCCAGAGTAGAGGTATGAGCAGCATTTTGGGGTGATTATTCCTGGAATTGGCACCACGAAAACCTCTGCCTTTGCCTCAGCTTTTTGGAAGTGCCTCTGAAATGTCTGATTTGAAAATTGAAATTTTTGGAAGTGTTTGATTTGAAGGAGATTTGGAATGATCCTGCAGGGCCCGCAGGACCTTGGGCTCCAGCCCGTGCTCCGAGGTGCCCCCAGGGGCTCGGAGGGGATCCGTGGGATGTCCCCTCAAGGCCACCGCTCCCACACACAGACAGTCCCGAAGCAGAGGCGGGGGAGGGAGGGAAATCCTCTCTTACAAAACTATTGCTGATAAGCAGCGTCCCGGGTCACCCTTGGGCTCGGCTGTGACCCACCGTCATGTGCCGCGGCCCTCGCGGGGCACGAGCCTCGTGGTGTGTCATGGAGGGGAAAAGAAAGCCTGGGAATTTCCAGCCCCCGGCGCGTGCCACACCAAAGACCTCGCTGTGATCCCGCTGGGACGGAGCCCAGCTCCCCCTGGGCACATTGGCCACCAGCATCTCCTGCCCGGAGCCCAGCTGCAGCTGGTGTCACTGCTTCATCATCTAGCGAGGCTCTGCCTATGGACACTGGCCCCAGTGTCCGCTGTGCAACCATCCCCATGGGTAACAGCAGCTTGGGTATAAAGCTTGGGTTAAAGAGCTTGGACTCAGTGATCTTGAAGGGCTTTTCCAACCCTAACGACTCTATGATCCTGGGAAAACAGGCTGATCAGAAGAGCATGGGTGCCAGACGCCTTGGTTTGCCCAACAGGCAGGGCTGGAGCTGGAGAATCCAACCATGAAGGTGCTGGGAACGGCCCCTCTGCAGGTGTCTCCTTAAACCATCATGGTTTTGGAAAAGCAGCCCGTAAAGCACCTGAGAGTCCAGTCCCGGGGACAACCTGTTCAGCCAGAGTCGCTGAGAGAGGAAAAAACTGAGAGGTCTCAAAGACAGAAGCTCTCCCACGCCTTGTGGCAACAGGGCAACAGGGCACGAGGTCCATGTACGTTCCAGGCCTGTCTTGAATCCCAAGGACAAACCTTGACGTAGTTTGTAGGCACGGTTCGTATCTGTTTTATCACAGAAACACCAGCTCATTTTTCAGGTCTTCTGGCTCAGCGTGTAGCAGGGCAGGATGCTCAGCACATACCTGGGCTCAGGACTAAGGTACAGAATGCTGCAAAAATAATTATGGTCTCTATAGATCCCTGCACTTTACAACTTGAGAAACTATATCTATTAAACACACCCAAGAAAGGCTTAAAAGCTGTTTTTCTCACTATTTTTTTACTACTTGATGGAGATGGTTCCTTGATCTAATCAAAAAAGACACAGCAAGCACCGAATATTAGAAGCTCTACCTATGCAATTAAAAAAAGTATTTCTTAGTTAAATTAATCTTTAAAGCACCTAATCTGCTGAATTCTTCGCTACTCGATCTTTCTAGAACAAGATGTCAGCTTGGTTTAGTTCAAATGGAAGATCTGGACTTGATAAGAGATTTCTAAACACATGAGAAGTCACTCCAGAAGTCATCATGTCTTCTATTCATAATTTTTACCTATTTCTAGACATTCTCATTCTTCTTATTAATGATACTGGTTAAGTTTCCAAGGAGTAATTTGGGATTTACCTGTTAAGGTTGTATTAATCATATTGCTAAATATAGAGCAAGACTGCTAGAAAGCAAGTTTCCAGAAGTGAAAAATCCCACATTATGTCACGCCAGCAAAAAAATGCTTTATAAAAGATTTAAAAAAGCAGCAGATCATTTTATGTTTAACCGACCAGGAACTGTTAGTCAGAGTCAATACTGCTGAGAGAGCAAGAGCAACTGCAGGCGAAACTGCTGTTCCTACGAGATGAATAAATGGCCACCAAGTCATGGTTCCCCCATAACGTCACAAATATATGACAGTTCTCATGAATCTGAAGCAATGAGAAATGGGAAATTTTGGAATAGGCAAGAAACACTCCATGACGGTTGCCTGGAAGTCCAGGGGATTCTTCAAGCTGAATCGGTAATAAACCAAGTGTATGCCACACGATGTACTTATGTCCAGAGGCAACGGCAGCGAAGGAGGAGGCAAAAAAATGGAAAACTTGCCCACATAAACATCTTGCAATGATGCTGGGGTGGCCCTGGTCCGTGGCCGGGCATTGGGAGGAGCTCTGCGCAAGACCCGGCTCAAGCCCAAGCTGCGTGCCAGGGGAGAAGCTCCGTGCTGGGCAGCCCCAGGCAGAGCCCGGGGACTAAATGATCTAGTTGGACTAGATGATCTCTAGAGTCCCTTCCAACCTCAGCTGTTCTGGGATTCCGGGATTCTGAGCCAGCGTGGTGCCGAGCGCCGCCCGGGAGCAGAGCTGCCCCGCGGAGCCGGGGGAGCGGGGCAGAAGCGTGCGAGTGACTTTTGAGTAGCAGCTTTTCCTTCCTGAAACATCTTCTTGGCAGCCCTGAAAGCTGTTTCCTACAGCTTTAGCAACACGCCCACAGCCCCGGACACTCTTTAGGAAAAGGTGCTGTATTCATTCATGCAGCCCCGCCGTAGTAGTGCCGAGGGCGCGGGTTTCCACAGCGCTAAGCAGGGCTGAGTCAGAGCGAAACTGCCCCGGCGCCATGTGTGCGAGGGCAAAGGAAACGCAGGTAAACACGGCGGGGATCACCAGTGCGCAGAGCAGTTTCCTTTGTGGAAGGGACACGTCCGCCTGACGCTCTTGCGCACCAGCAAAACAGAGCGGGTTCCAAAACAGGCAGGGAATTGCACAAGACCCAGAAGGGTCTCAGCTGCCTCGGTGGCCCCGGAGGGACCGTGGCTTGAGAGGAAGGCCCTGAGTGTGCCCAGGGCTCCTGCGAGGAGGAGGAGGAGGAGGGAGCCCTGCTTGGCCAGGGGGTTCCTACAGCCAGGCGCCCGTCCGAGGTCCCTGCTGCCAAATCCATCTGCTCCAAGAGCTTTGGCTTGGCAACCTTCCCCCAAGGGCTGTCGGCACCTGAGCCGGGCAGGTCCTCCCAAGGGTGGCCTTGGGTCCTCCCAAGGGGCTCGCAGCACTGAGCTGGCGCCGCTGCAGAGCGGCCAGAGGCGTTGCCTGCAAGAGGAAGTTGCTCCATTGGGCTCTTTTTGCACGATTTTAGATCTGCTTGTTAAACCAAAGCTCCTTTGGACAACACGCTGGGCAGAGAAGCTTTGCAGACCTCAAACAGATTCAGATCAATCCAAAATAGACAAAAATCCCCCAGGATGGAGCGAAGGCTGGGATCAGAGAAAGGCGGGACCTTACCAGTGCAACCTCCCTACTGGTTTTGAGCCATCTTGTGCTGCGCCCGCTTCTCCTTCCTCAAAACTTCTGGCTGGTAGACAAGAAAAAACCACACTGATGCAGCAGAGCCTGGGAGAAAAAGGGATCGCTAGTGACGCACCGTGATTCAGACAACCTTCCAGTGCCCCGCAGTGATTCACTAGAAGATTCCTTCTCCTTCGAAAAAATCATTGACAACAAAAAATGACAAATCAACAAAAATAGTGACCCTGGGGCCTCCAAGTTATGTAAGTTTTATCCCTTTGCACTCATTCATGAAGAAACACCAAAGTTTCATCGTTTTGCTCCTGAATACATAGGAGCATATACACATACATTAAACACACGCAAGGCTGTTTTTGCAATAGGGTCCTTCCTAGGGACTTGCAATTTCAGATCGACAAATTCACAGAGCTTCAGGGCAACAGAGGAGATAAGAAAAGAAGCAATTTGTGTCCAAAGCAATAGAAATGAAAAAGTCTGGGAAGACCAAACTGGTTTAAAGGAACACAGGGCTTTTCAAAGAAATCCACTCATTTCAGAAAAAAAAAAAAAAAAGGTAAATTAATCTCCACTTATTCTTTCTTGGAGAGTAACTTTGTAATCAAAAACTTTATCACAAGGAAGCGGGAAGATGCATGTGCATAGATATCTATAGAAAGAAAGAGAGGGCAATGGAGAGCACACATGCACTAGAATAAAAAACGGAAAAGGAGAGAGACAAAGGAATTATCTTTAGCATGGATACAGTCATTTTTATCAGAGCTGGAACAATAACTCATTTCACACAACACGCCCAAGCTCGTGGAGCCAGCACCATGGTCCACTTACAAGAAAATGAAAATGCTGTAATATGTGGATGGTGAGAATGAGAGAAGAACACCTGGAAGGTGTTCCTTTCATGCCAGGTGAAGGCATTAACTTATAATAATAATAATAAAGATATAAGGTTATTGTTTTATGTGCATTTAAAGAATATCACAAGAATGCCAAAGGAGGAGACAAGGTGTTTGCACCAGTCCATTAAAAGCAATAAATTGAACTATGCACGGTGCTGGGAACCTTAAGTATAGATATGCTACAGAGATGTAAAAACAGAAGCACTTTTTTTTTTTCCCCTAACAATAGGACATTCATCTAAAAATAAAGATAATCATGAGGATGCAGAAGTAAACTCACACAGCATCTTTTTTTGTTTGCATTGAGCTTTCCTTTTAGCCACATTCAAATTTACAAGAAGCAAGCAATGAAGAAAAAAAAAAAAAAAGAAAAGAAAAAAGCAAAGTCTAAGCATAAAAGCTTCGATGGGGTGTGAGGAGAGGAGGGGGGTCAAGGGAACAGGAAACCCAAGTTGACGGGAAACCCAAGTGACATTTGGGTTTAATGAATGACTTAAAACCCCAATATTACTCCTCAGGAAATGGGGAGAGGAAATTGAGAGATGTTTTGAGAGTATAAATGAGGGGCTCCATCAAGGTGAAGGCTGCAGATCTGCGCTTTACCTCCGGAGAAGCTGCGCGCAGAAGGGGAGCGAGAGGAAGGGCAGCCCGTGCAGCATGCAGCCCTGCGCAGCCCTGGCGCTCCTGCTCCTGGCTGCCGGCGCCGTGCACGCCCAGCCCGGCTGCACGCACTTCTCCCAGCTCCTGCCCGCCTATCTCAGAGACCTGAGGATCAAGTTTGAGGAAATTAAAGGCTATTTTGTAAGTAAGGCATAGCCAGGCTCTCCTTCTCCCTGCTATTTGTTTTTCTTCTTCTTCTTCTTCTTGCAAAGTTTGATGGTTTGGCTAGAACCATGGTTGGTTTAGCTTTAGTTTTAGATGGGAGCTAAACCATCTATTAGCTTTAGTTTTAGATGGCTTAGCTCCCTCTGGACAGAAGTGATTTGGTGGGTGCTAGGGGCTTGCAGGAGGCAGCGAGGGAAGCCGCTCCGTTTCATGCTTGCTGGGAGATGGCATGCAAGGTCTTCTTCCCTGCTCTACTTAGAGAGAACCCGGGGTCTTTTGCTACGAATTTTAGCACATCTTACTATGCAGGCTTGCCCCCTCGATATTGCAGAGCAATTACTCATTGAACAAATAGGAAGGAAAGACCATCAACTTCAGGACAATTAGGCACAGCCTCAACAAAGTCTGTACCAGATGAGAAGAGAAATCTTTTGCTACAACCTTTTTCTGTATATCAAGCTTACTGCCAAAGGAGCCTGGACAAAGTAATTTGGGGAGCCTGCAATAACCAGCACTTGTTTTGATGCCTTTAAAAGAACAAGGCTTTGCTAAAGGGAGCCTCCAATTGCTGAGGAAGCAATCACGACAAGATATCCACAGCATTTGTCACTGCAAAGATGTGTGCTCACATCTCTATTGCTGTTTTTGCTATTGTCAGTAGCTCCTGGCAGCAGACAAATGGATAAAGCCTCAGCTGAAGTCCCAGAGTAACGGTGTGTCTTGGATTTATTACTAAACTAGCATGGATTTAGGAGCTGGTTTTAAAGCTAGCTGTAAATCCCAAAGTTAATGTTAGGGAGGAACATTTATAATCTCTTGGAAAGGCTATGTTAAGTGTCCTGGTCCCCGCGGTGCCACCTCAGGGTAGGTAGGGATCACGCTCCTGGCTCTCTAGGACTAGCAGTGCAAGAGGGGCTCTCCAAGGAGAAACATCTGGAGAGGAGAAACACCCAGAGAGCAGAGTGGGACGGGGCGTGCGGGCAGCCCTGGTGTGTCGGTCTGATGCCGCCTACAGCGTGCAGAGCTGGAAGCGGAGGTCGGAGCAGGCCACCAGACAGGCAATAGCCCTACTGAAGGTTGGGATCTCACTGCCTTGCTGTCTCCGGGCCCCGGGATATTTGCATTGCCACGTTATGGGTCAAAGCATTGATGATTCCTGTACCTAGAATTAGTGTTGTACACGCAAATATGAGCGAGGGCTTTCCTGCATGGAGCACAACCAAGCCAAGCGAGCCTGCGGTGAGGCCAGGGCACTGCCTAAGTAAAGCTCAGCCTAAGTAAAGCTTCTCCATTGCACTCTTGCTTCCGCAGCAATCAAAGGACAACGAACTTGGCATCCAGCTGCTCAGCTCTGACCTGCTCAATGAATTCAAGGTAAGAACGTCACCTTGTTCCCAGAATATAATCCTCCCCTAAGTCCCCTGCCCTTCTTCATCCCTTAAGGAGGGAACCAGACTAAACAGAGGCTCCTGTCCCATTGGGACAGCTCTCGAGTCACACTTACAAGCACCTCGTGCTCCGGCCACCAAAGCCTGGTGACAACCGGAGACCTTCCCCGCCGGTCGTGTCCGGCACAAACGCGGGTCCCTCTGCCTCCTCAGGGCACCCTTGGCTGCCAGTCTGTGTCGGAGGCCATGCGCTTCTACATGGAAGAGGTCCTGCCGAGCGCGGGGCGGGCGAGCGCGCAGCACGAGCAGAGCGTGGGCCACCTCCGCAAGGCGCTGATGCAGCTCAAGGCCACCATGAAGCGCTGCGTGAGTCGGGGACAAGGGGCGGCACGGGCTCCTTTGGGCTTATGGGGCAACATCAGCCACCACGGCCACGCTGCCGCCCTGGCACCGCGGTCATCTGCAGCACCGCGAGCCCGTGGAGGAGGAGGAAGGGGAAGCGGGAGGCGAGGGCGGGGGAGGAAGGGCCGTGGGCAGCCGGGAGGAAGGCTCACGCTCTGCCTCGTCCCCGCGCAGCACCGGTTCTTCACGTGTGAGAAGCAGAGCAAGACGGTGAAGCACATCAGGGAGACCTTCGAGAAGGTGGGTGGCCGCTCGGGACACGGGCTCCTCCTTCGGGATGGAGCCACGATGCTAGACAGAGTCAGAGGCTTCAGTTACCTAAAAATACATAATACATAAACTATAACGTAGCCAGATTGCCTCAAGCAGCAGCTGGATGTTCAGCTGCATGGAGGGAGGGATGGGAAAAAGCATTTTTAGGTGAGGAGAAAGTGAAAATGAATAAAGGAGGTAACTGAGCTTCCTATGGGGCTCCCTGGAAAACACCAGGTAAACTCCTTAAGTTGCAGGCAGGGAATCACTGCAAATATGCTGCACACGTCTATGTATGGATGCAATAGATGAGCTTTAAATTATTTCTAGTATTTGATATGTAACACGCTACAGAGTGGGCTAGAGCGCAGAGAAAGGAACCCATTCTCCTCAAATTGTGCTTACTCACTACGAGTGGTTTGCACTCCCTTTGAGCTGCTTTTCCACAACTAATCTACGAGCAGATTATTGGTGCTGCAGAGGAGCGCCGCAGCCCGGCCCCACGTCTCCGAATGAATCAGCTCAGGCACCGCGCGCGCAGCGAGCTCGGTGTCAGAGCCGGGGCTCACGTGCGCGGCGCTGGCGGGCGGCCGGGCGCTTCCCAGCCGCGCTGCCTGACACGTATCGGAACCTGCAGGCTTGAGCCAAAACCGTAACTGTGGCAAACACGTTCAGTATTCATTCCTGGCGAACTGTAGAATTGTCATCTCGCAGCCCTACTATAGGCCTGTTAAGGAGTTAAAAACTTTAAAGCTATATATTACCTTTCACCTGGCAGATGAGCGAGAACGGCATCTACAAGGCAATGGGAGAATTCGACATTTTCATCAACTACATTGAAGAATACTTGATGATGAAGGGAAGGAAGTGAAACCGTGCACGGGGCTGCATTTTTCACACAAAACCTCCCTGTCTTTCGGAAATAATAGGAGGCTCTAAGAGCATTTGAGAGACTAAGTTATGATTCAGGTCAATAACATCTTTTAAGGTTTAATATTGTATTTAAACAGCTATTATTTTGTGAAAAGTTTAATATTTATTACCTCTAATACTTAAGTGTTTTTGTTTACAAAGGTTTTGAAGAGACATGAGCTTTTAAACTCTTATTTATTGTTCAGTATTTTCGTGCTGTTTATGATAGTGTTATTTTATTCATAGTTTATTCATGCTCCCCAAAGCTGCACTCTTTTGGGGAGCACACGATGAGCAGAATCGCTCCCAAGTGCAGCTTTGGTGAGCAAGGTCAGTCTGATCAGGAGCTCTCCATGTCGAGCAAAGCAGTGCACTCTCCTCCTAAGTCTATCCATCTCTCTAATTGGGCATTAAATTTTCCTGTGCGTAGCTTTGCCAGTATGTCTGGTCCTGCTTAGCCACACAAATATTCAAAATTAGCCCATGACCTTACACTGAGCAAAATAATTGGGAAAGAAAAGGGTCATTTTGTCTCCTTTGCATGGAAAGGACTGTGAAGGAGAAGGGTCTGCACTGCAACAAAAAACAGAGGCTAACGCCACGGAAATAGGTTAATTCTACCTCTTCATTTCTGTATTAATTCATATTATAGAAAAAATAGCAATAGCAATTAAGCATTTGGTTCTAATAGAACTTGTGGTTCAATGTCGCTACTCATTGATTTTCAGAACTGCTGAGTTCTGACACTCTGCACCTTTGAAAATTAATGGTAATATTTTCTAGTCTTTGACTGGGTTTTATTCACTGTTTTTAGGAGATATTTAATTAACCACCATTTTAAGGTGGATTTGGTGATTTGCAATCAAATTCATACAGCTAATCTCATTTTGTGTTACTTCTAATTTCATGAACTTGCAATGTAGGCATTTGCTTCTAATATTTAGAAGCACTGGGGCAACAATATCATGCTTTCCTATAAATGTTAAGTCGCCACTGAAGAAAGGCTCTTGCAAGGTCATTTATTCTATTTTGGCATTTACTGTGATAGAAGGGTGTTCCCACAGAGTGGAACTAGTGATTGAAGAGCTGCACCCAGCCCGAAGCAGGAATGCTCCTCTGCAGCTCACTCCTACTGAGGCCACTGGAGCGGCTCAAGGGCCACTTGTTGGAACCAACCACTGTCAAATTTAAATCAAGATTCTTGTTTATGCAGGGCCTTTTGTGTGCTGTCTGTGTGAAAAGAAATCATTTATTTTTGCTAATAAAGACCTCAGAACAAATAAAGCCTCTGTTCTGCTGTTTCCAGTTATTAGCACAGTCAGGACAAGGCCTTGATCTTAGATCACATACTAGATAGTAGCTAGGTCCTGGACTAATAGGAACTGATAACAGAATTGCTTGGTTTTCCCCAGGTTTGGGGTGATTTCTCTCTGCTTGGGGAACTGTATAGATGGCAGTTGAATGTGTGATTTCAAGCAGCATGCATGACGTTAGAGCTCTGTCACTAATAGACCCAGAAACCACCCAGGACAGCCCTTTCCAGCGCGCACTGCTCATCCACCGCCAATGGGTGGTTGCTCATGGACACCCACCTGGCCACGTTTCTGTTTCGGTTTTGAGCATCTTTCGCTTTCACTGATTTCAGACCTCAGCTTGCCAGTCCACGGGACTCCCTGTGTTTATCAGTAGCTGGTCTTCCTCTCCTCGCTGCATTAGGAACAAGAACATTTTCAGTTCATAAGATAATTTCTAAGTCTGGCTCTGTCCAGACCGCAGTACAATGCAGGTCACTGGGGAGATTTAGCCCAATAAAGTGTTGGATTTCCTAGCAAACCCACCTTTTTGGGTGCTGTGCAGCACCTGGGCCCCCTTAGCATCACCAGCAGGAGGGCAAAGGCAATGTTGAGCAGGCAAAGCCAACGAGGCCGGGTCAGCAGGTCAGAGCAGGAGCCCAGGGACTCTCGGGAGCACAAGGCGAACGCCGCGCTCTGCTCTGCCGGCAGGAAAAGTGTAGCATCAGCTCCGCTGCGGGGAGTTTTTCAGTAAAACCCGGGCTCTCTGGTTAAAGTAACCACAGGAAGGAAGCAGATGGGATGCCGCTTGCTGCACGGAGAATGAAGGTTTCCAGTTACCTGCTGCCACAGGAGTCGTTTGATTCAGAAGAAAATGGAGGAAGAGCAAGTCAGCAGGCGAGGGGAGGCCGGGCTGGCGGGCAGGTTGTGCTTGCAGGGAGGCTCTGCTCTGCTGCGAGAGGAAGCGTCCTGCAAGGTCCCGGCCAAGGGCACCACTGGGCAACATGGGGAGACAGTGGAGAGCAGGAGGACTAGGTGTGCAGTCTCCATGCAAACATGCAGACTTTGGTCACCAAGGCACAGGGGTGTTTGCGAAATGACACAGATCTGGTACGTGAAAGCGCGACCACACTGCCCCAGCTAAGTACACATAGCACCTCCAAAAAGCTATACATGGGCTGTTCTGGAAATGCAGAAAGGCCATCAAAGAGCCGAAGGATCTGTCCCGGGGCAACAGCACTTCCAGGGAAGATGCAACCCCTACGTTGCACTGTTGGCCGTGTCCTCAAGCAGGTCGTTTCACGTTCTCAGGCCAGCCACATCCAGTCAGTAGCCCCCTGCCAGCTGTGCTGCTCAATGGGGGCAAAGAAAGAAGAGAGAGAAAAGAAGATCAAAAAGGGCAGCCTGTGAGAGAGGGACACACGACGCTCCACCACAAGTCATCCACATAACCGGGACACCTACATCAGGCCAGAATCACGGCACCACCATCCTCCAGCCTCCATCAGCGACCTTCTGCACGGGGCTGCAGCCCTGCCGTGCCCCGCACACGGGCTCCCACACATGCAAGAGCCTTCCCGGGCCCGGTGTCAGCTCACATGCACCAAACACATCAGTGCTCAGCCCAGCACCAACCAACTTCACGAGCGTTCTCGTCTCCTACATCCTCCTCCTTGCCTTCCCGTTTCATCCACTGGCTATTTCTTCGTGCACACAATAAAACTTGGACTATCTCCATCTCCGTTGGGTGCTGGGCCCAATACATCTGCTTCTGGTGCGACCGCTGCCTGAAGAGCAACATCTCCATGCATGGTCCCACGGCGCTTAGTGCTGAGGTAGTTCCTGCCCATCTCAACGCAGGGCTGTACGTTACAGTAACAGCGCAAGACTGTCGCCTGCTTAAGAGCTGGTGGTTTTGGTGTTTTATCCCACATAAGCAGATGGTTTCCTTGTTGGGTACCGTCTTCCTGAGAGCTGCCCCGGGCGCTGGGGCCGCTTCCCGACATCGAGCGCTGCCGCCGGGGAGCCGCCTGCGGCTTCTGGCCTAGACAAGCCCAGGTTCTCACCTGCCCAGAGGCTGCTTATCGCGAGTGCGCTTCAAAGATTTTGGTCTGCTACAGGTTGCATGTGGTTAAACCACCTTTTCTTCTTTTTTAAAAAAAAAAAAATGTCTAAATGCTAGAGGAAAAGAGCTGGAGAGCTGATCTAAGCAGAAGCCTAGAAGGCCTTCTGTTTCCAGACCTCCCAAAGACAGCCTGACCTGCAAGCCATAGGGTCGTCTACCAGCTGTGCCCTGGTGGTCCAGCCTGCCATAATGTTGGTCCTGGGCCAACACCACACAGAAAACCCGTTTCTGACTTCTACCATGACTCCGGAGTCAATCCAACTCAGCGTTAGACATCATCACCAAGGACAGTCTCCAAATCGTTGTTTTCCTCTTAAAAAGGAGAGAAAAGCCACCTCCAGTGGGTGTTTATCCGTCACAAGCTCAGCCTGTGGTTAGAGCCGCACGCTTCCGACGGCTTGGAACACGCAGTGGCCTTGGTGGACAGGGACAAGCCGCTGGGCCGGCAAAGTCCGAGCTTGCACAACGGCGGGCCGGAGTTTCTGTGGTGAAACTCGAGGCCGGGCGAATGGAGGCCGGGTGAATCACGGCGCGGGGGAGCGAGGGGCCAGCGCAACGTGGCCGGCGGCTCCTCCGCTGCTCCCATGGGCGAGCTCTCCAGCCAAGGCGCTCGCTCGGCTCTCTGCCTTCCTCCTCTTGACATTCGGGCAAGGACAGAGGACTTCAGGGAAACATGGGGTCCACTCCAGCAAGGGAGCGTGCAGGCAGCGTTTGCACACACAGAGAGCTCCTGATTTCACAGGTGCTTTGGTTAACCTGCAGCTTGGGGGCCAGCATGCGGACAAACCCCCGAGGACTTTGGGGGCCCGAGCATCGGGCTATTGATCTGCCTCGGTGCAGGTTCCACTTTGTCAAGGAATAAATACCGCCAGGGAGGCAGCACAGCAGAGAAGTCTGCTAGCTCAAAGGACAGCTGCTTCTGCTTTTTTCTCTTTAGAAACTTTCCTGAAATCCACAAGTACCACCACGATGATCAGAATGTTCTTGCTGACTCAAGAAAGCTGCTCAGCTTCTTCGTTGGCCAACATGGGAAAGGCAGCTGGGCTAGACCTCAAGGGGCCGTGGCTGGAAGCTTCTGTTGAGCTGGCTGACTAGGTTCTGGGAGAAAAACACCACTTACGTCATCCGTGTACAAGGAGGAAAAAACCCTTCTTCTGCCTGAAATATTAATATGCTCTTCAGGAGTGTTTGGCTCTTTCCCTCTTGGTCTTTCTCCTAGACTTTGAGCTTCTCCTCACAGAGGGCATTTAGCTCCTTATGCCGAGGTTACAAGATGCCTGTTGAAGAGTGTGAAGCAGCAGATTGGCATCACCAGGCCTGCAGAGAGCCTCAAACCTATGGCATCTCACCATCCTATTCCAGCTGTTGATCCACGGAACACGGCTTGGATTCAATGGCTGATCCTGTTGGATGTGTTACATCAGTCCCTTCCTTCTCTGCACTGAAATGCAATCCAGCTGTAACTCCTGCTGGCAACTGATCTCCGGGCGCTTGGATCAGAGTCCTTGGGCTTTCCGGCTGCTGCTGCTGAGAAGACTGCAG